AAAAAAAAAAAAAAAAGGTAAAAGGGAAGACCCTTAAACATGAAAACGCTCGGATTCTTTTCTTTTGTAGTTTATGCCCACCCCACCCCACCCCCCAAAGCAAAGAGTGATCATATAGAAAAAGTCAGAAAAGCTCAATAAGGTCACTGAGTGCTTGAGAGGATGCATCCTTTCTCCTGAAGCAGACCGACTGTGCACCCCACGTTTGTAGCCCACCCATGCCGTCAAACCCCCTACCGGGGACCTTGATGGGTTCAAACTTTTACCCGTGTGACTGCACAAAACAGGAATAGTCTTGCCAAAAAATCAACTATAAAATGTTTCCCAAGTAATCTCACCCAAGGAAAGGGACCGTTTCTTTTAAAAAAATGCACAAAAATCAGAGAGACTCCGGCGACATTGCTGAGCACAAACAACCCAGCCCGGGGATGCCCTACTCCGCGGGTGGCGCTTTTCCAACCACAGGACCGGGAGGCCCAGCTCTGGCAAAAAATACCTCAGAGAACCCTCAGCACCGACCGGTGAGGCCACCTGGTAGGCTGGTGAGGAGGGCGCGGGCGCGCACGCCGATGGCGTCACACTCGTCCGCATACAGCTCCGCGTCCCTCTCGACGGCTTCTGATTGGTCACCGCTCGCGGCGTGGAGGCGTACTTGACTTGCGCCTCCCTCTCCCAACCGCAGCCCGCCTTGCTCTCGGAGGGCGGAGTCAGGATGCTCAGCCAATGGGAGAAGGTGTTGTTGGCGGCCACGGCGGCGCAACTCCAAAGCAAGCGGAGGTACTGTCGCAGCCACTGCTGCAGGAGGCGTGAGGTACGGGTTGCGGGTGCTTGGCTGGTAACGGCGCGCTGGGACTGGCAGCCAGGGCGGGGGACGGCGGGAGAGTGGCAGGGCTGGGACCCGGAGCCGGGGCGCGGCGGGCAGAGCGGCGGCCGCCATCTCCGGTAGCCGCAGGCCCGCGGGAAGCCAGGCAGGGGCGGGGCCGCGTCCTATCAGCCCGGGCTGCGGCGGCGGCTGGCCCGCGGGCCGGGACGCGGGGCGGACGGGCCGGGCGCCTTCTTCGCCGGCCTTGAAGGTCAGAGGCGCTTTGTTCTGCGCCGCGGGCCCCTGCGGTCCCAGCGCGGGGCGGGCGGGCCTGCAGGGCGTCAGCGCCCGGAAAAGGTGAGGACCGCGGGCGGCCGAGGCTGGACCGGCCCTGCGAGCGCTCAAATCTCCCGCTGGCCGCCTCCGGCGCACGTGCTGTGAGTCGGAAGCGAGGCCCAGGAGCTTTTGCTCCATTTTTTTGGTCTGCGAGACGGGCCAAAGGCCTACGCTCCCCGTTCGTAAGGTGGACATGGCCGGAGACTTTTCGTGTTCGGAAGTTGAGTTTTCCGCGGGCGATTGTCGCAAGCCCCTCTGTTCAGGCCAGGTTAATTGTGGTGGTTATTTCTAAAATTCATGTGACAGGGCGTCTTTGACAAGGAGAAAAGTTTATTTTTTTTGGTGTTTCTTAGCTGTTATTGGGAGCTCTGCAGTGAGAGCGAGGTGGTGGCTACACGGGCTCCCCAGTGAAGAGAACTGGGCCTAAGTGGCCTCAGACTAAAGTTCTGAGGGAGCCTGGTTTACCCAGTCAAGGCGGGCATCAAGTCTACTTTACTATTTAAAACCATCTTTCAAAAGAGAAAAATAAATTCTGTACAAGAATTTATTTAATCTGTACGGGTTATGAGTGGGAAAGTCCTATGCGTTCCATTCAGTTCAGAGATAGTGAGAAGTTACATTTGTTTTTCTTTCTTTTTTTTTTTTTTTTTTTGGACACAGTCTTAAGCTGTTGCTCTTGGTAGAGTACCGTGGCACGCAGCAACCTCCAACGCTTGGGTTTAAGCGATTCTCTTGCCTCACCCTCCCAAGTAGCTGGGACTCTGGGTACCTGCCACAACGCCCGGCTACTTTTTTGTTGTAATTGTCATTGTTGTTTGGCAGGCCCGGGCTGGATTCGAACCCGCCATCTTCCGTGTATGTGGCTGGCACCCAAGCTGCTGAACTACAGGCGCTGAGCCAATATAATGACTTATTAAAGGGAATAAAACTTGGGATTAAAACCTAAATCTGTGCAATTTTAACCTTGCTCAGATTTATTGAGGAGGTGAAAGAAGTTTTTTTTTTTTTTAAATAAGATTTTATGTTAGATATTAGATAATCTTGTTTGTTGCAGTTTTTGGACGGGGCTGGGTTTGAACCCACAACCTCAGGTATATGGGGCCGGTGCCCTACTCCTTGAGCCACAGGCGCCACCAAAGATGAAAGAAGTTTTGATGAAAAGTTACATTTTCATCATTGTATTAAGCCTAAGTAAACTCCAGTTTATGAGGATTTGAGCTGGTAGGTCTTTTCCATCTCAGAATTCTGTTACTCCACGGAATACCAAATGCTTCCTCTAGTAGAATCTTGAGATTATTTTAGAATGGAATGAGTACTTTCTCCTGGAATAAATAATAATGCATGATGAACCTCAGAGAAAGGAAGAGTGTTAATAGACTTAGGATATATTCTAAATATTAAATAAGTGACTAAAGAAGAGGGAGATGATTTAAAGTTTAGTTATTTAGTAGCAATTTGCTGATGTGGAGTTGGCAGAATAAAAACCCAGAAAATGAATTTTCTCAGTTTATTAGCTGCTTCTTCACTTTTTGTGATACAAGTGAAAGTTTTTTTTGATCTTGAGAAGGTAAATGACTGAATTTCTTCTCAGAATTACAAAGATCAATGGAATAAGACCTTTTTGGTCAGTAAATATACTGCTGTAAAACTCTGTAGTCACAAAAGTGTCCTATTTTGTAGATGAAATAGAAACAAGAATTATATCCTTTTTAAGTTTACTTACGGATTTTTTTTTTTTTTTTTTTTTGGATATAGGCTGTATGTTGCCCAGGTTGATCTCCTACCTCAGTCTACTTAGTAGCTTGGATTATGCTCCCCCCATCCCCAGTTTAAAGATAATTTGATTAGAATTTCAAGGCTTTTTTTTTTTTTTTAGATAGTCTCTCACTGTGTTGCTCCCAGTAGAGTGCAGTGGCATCATAGCTTACGGCAACCTCAAAACTCTTGGGCTTAAGTGATTCTCTTACCTCAGCCTCCCAAGTAGCTAGGACTACTGGTGCCTGCCACAATGCCTGGCTGTTTTTTGGTTGCAGTTGTCATTGTTTGGCAGGCCTTGACTGGATTCCAACCGGTCATCTTTGATGTATGTGGCTGGCGCCCTAGCCACTTAGCTACATGCGCCGAGCCTTAAGGCCTCTTCTTGTGGTATGAGTTTATAAATAATTTTAACACTTTATTGCTGCCTTAAATAGCTGGGTTTTTTTCTTTTTTGACACAGTCAGTCTCTGTCGCCCATGGTAGAGTGCTGTGGTGTCACAGCTCACAGCAACCTCCAGCTCTTGGGCTTAGGCAATTCTCTTGCCTCAGCCTCTTGAGTAGCTGGGACTGCAGGCACCCACCACAATGCCCAGCTATTTATTTTTGTTGTTGCAGTTTGGCGGGGGCCAGGTTTGAACCTGGCCACCCTTGGTATATGGGGCTGGCACCTACTCACTGAGCCACAGGCACCGCCCTTAAATAGCTGTTATTACACGTTTGCGGCTCCCCCTCATTGAGGAGTGTTACTGATTCAGAATGTCTGCAGTTATTTGTGCTCTTATATAACATCTAAGCATTTATTTTGTGAATTTTGTAGTATAAACTTTGAATCATGTACTGCTTTTCAAAGTGAATATAGAGTATAATTGAATTAATTGAATTTTTTGCAATGGTAAAAAAATGATCCTGTCATTTTTGGGTTTGATAACCCTGGTAAACTGAATTCTAAAAAAGACTACATGTGGCCGGATGCAGCAGCTCATGCCTGTAATCCTAGCACTCTGGGAGGCTCTGGTGGATGGATTGCTTGAGTTCACGGGTTTGAGATCAGCCTGAGCAAGAGTGAGACCCTGTCTCTAAAAATAGCAGGGTGTTGTGGTGGGCACCTGTAGTCCCAGGTACTTGGGAGGCTGAGGCAAGAGAATTGCTTGAGCCCAAGAGTTTGAGGTTGCTGTGAGCTATGAGATCATAGCACTCTACTGAGGGCAATGAAGTGAGACATTGTCTTGAAAAAAAAAAAAAAAGACTGAAAAAAAAAGACTATATGGGTAGGCACATCCAGTTCAATGGTTCAGTGGTTGGAGCATCGGCCCTGTGCACTGGGGCTGGCCTTGGCCTGCTTAAAAAACACAAAAAACATACATTTGGGGATGTTGTCCTCAAAATGTACTAGGTATTGCATTTTCTAAATTATCCATTTAGATAATAAGACTCTGCTGTGAGCTGGGGTTGTGGCTCATAACAGTAATCCTAACACTCTGGGAGGCCAAGGCAGTTGGATGGCTTGAGCTCACAGGTTCGGGACCAGCCTGAGCTAGAGTGAGACACCCTCCCTTCCCCACATCCCATCTCTAAAAAGTAGCCAGGTATTGTTGCAGGCACCTGTAGTCTCAGCTACTCTGGAGGCTGAGGCAAGAGAATTGTTAGAGCCCAAGAGTGTGAGGTTGCTGTGAGATATGATACCATGTCACTCTACCAAGGAGGACAAAGTGAAACTCTGCCTCAAAAAAAAAAAAAAAAGTCTTTTGTGGAATTCTAAGTTTAGAAATTGTTACCTGTATGAGATAGTTCTTTTTTTTTTTTTTTTTTTCAGTCTTTGGCTGGGGCTGGGTTTGAACCCACTACCTCCAGCATATGGAGCCGGTGCCCTACTCCTTTGAGCCACAGGTGCCGCCCAATAGTTCATATTTTTATAGAGATTAAGTATTTAGTGATAGGGGTGTGTTCATTGCCACTTTATAGTCTGAGTTTGTACTTGAATCTTAATACATATATTTTCAATAACTTGTCAGGTTTTTAGTAGCCTCTTTGTGAGAGAGTATTAATTCCTTGTATTGGGAATGAGATTAAAATTGTGCTTCCACTTTTGTTCTTTTGTTCTTTTTGTTCTTTTGAGCAGGTCTCTAGCATCAGAAGGCGGCGACTTCAAATATATACATATATAATGGCATAATGGAGTTCAAAATTACTTCATTTTTATTTTTTTATTTTTGAGACAGAGTCTTACTCCATCTCCTTGGGTAGAGTGCTGTCATGTCATATCTCACAGCAACCTCAGACTCCTGGGTTTGGGTAATCCTCTTGCCTCAGCCTCCACGGTAGCTGGGACTATAGGCACCCACCACAATGCTTGGCTAGCTTTTCTGTTCTGAGTAGAGACAAAGTCTTGTGCTTGCTCTTGGTGTTGGACTCCTAAACTAAAGCAGTCTACCCTCCTTGGCCTCCCAGAGTGCCAGGATTACAGGTATGAACCACAGTGTCCGACCAAAACAACTTATTTTAAGAGGCATATTTCTTTCCTTTTGTTGTCTATAATTTAAAAACATTGTGGCAAATTTATGTTGTAATTCCAAAAATTTTGCCAGGGAACCTAAAATTTGGGATTTATTTTGGGAGAAAAATATCTTACAGGCAAGAGATTGATTTAAGTTCCCAAAGGCCTAAGGGCCATCAGCTGTATGCCATTACTACCTAAAACCAGTCCTCCCAGTGATGACCTATTCTTGAATAATAAGGCAGCCACAATGAGCTTGTTGGGAGTTTAGTTGAGGTTGCTAGCTAAGATGTGGTTACTTTTTGTTTGTTTAAAGAGAAATGTGTTTTAGGCATCCTGAGTGAAAGGTTGATATTACTGTTGACTCTTCTGCCACTGTGCTGATAGAAGTAGCCAATGCAGCCAATGCAGCCAATGCGGT